TCCTCCTCCTCCTCCTCCTCCTCCTCCTCCTCCTCCTCCTCCCTCCCCTACCTGTGGCAGCGGCATTGGTGGAGGACACGCCCATCAGAGGAGGGCGTTGGCGTCGGAGCCTCCCGAGGCGCGGCCGCGCAGGCGCATGGCGAGGAATGTTCCGCGCCGCTGCCTCGCCCCCGTCGCGGCCGACCGGCCCGCCCCTGCGGCCGCAGGCGGCCCCCCGCCGCCCGGCTCTCGCGGTCCTGCCGCCGCCGCCGCTCGGACGCCGACGCCGCCGACGGCGGCGGCGACGACGCCGACGACGCCGACGACGACGACGCCGACGGCGACGACGACAAAGGCGAGGACGAGGACGAGGACGACGAGGACGAGGACGAGGACGAGGACGAGGACGAGGACGCGGACGAAGACGAAGACGAGGACGACGAGGCTCCGAGGACGAAGGCGAGGACGAGGACGAGAACAAGGATGAGGACGACGAGGACGAGGACAACGACGAGGACGCCGACGAGGACGACGACGACGACGAGGACGTCGACGACGACGACGCCGACGACGCCGACGACGTCGACGCCGCCGACGCCGACGGCGACGACGATGACGACGTCGCTGCTGTGGGGGGCCCCTGGCGGTCGTTGGCTCAGCGGGTGGGCCGGTTCCCCGCGTGCGCGCGGGGCGCCCGTGCTCTGCCCCGCCAGACACCGCCCCCGTCCAGCACCCAGCTCACAGCGGGGCTGCCGGGTGCACCCAGTGTGCGGCTCTCCAGCCCAAGGTTCTGAGGATCTCAGGGCTGTCGGGAGGCCAGTGGGGTGTGGGCTTGGCCGGGCGGGGCTTCCAGGAAGGCTCCGCTGAAGCCGGGAGGGCTTCTGAGAAGGCCCGTGGCTTCTCAGAAGCCACCCCCTGCACAACCCCACCGCACACCCACCGCCAGGGAGGCCGCCTGGGGGCCCCTTCCCCGGGGACCCATGGCCAGAGGCCTCTCTGCCTCGCGTTGAGGGCCCGCTGGAACGCTCTCCCGGCCGCGGGGAGGGGTCGATCCGCGGGTCGAGCACGATCGGGCTGCCCGCCCGCGATAGTTTGCGCGCGTGCCGCGCGGCCCAGCTGGGCGGACGGCCCATACGGGCCTCCTGCTAGGCGGAAGAAGAAGAACAAAGGAGGAGGAGGAGGAGGAGGAGGAGGAGGAGGAGGAGGAGGAGGGGGAGCAGGAGGAGGAGGGGGAGGAGGAGGAGGAGGTGGAGGAGGAGGAGGAGGAGGAGGTGGAGCAGGAGGAGGAGGGGGAGCAGGAGGAGGAGGAGGAGGAGGAGGAGGCGGAACAATCATAATTCAATCATCGTGACAATCATACTAGTAATATTCCTACTCATACTACTGAGCGTTCTGATATCAATAATACAGTTACTGATGCTAAATAATAATACTAGCAAGAACACTAATACTTAGAAAATCGTTATAGTATACAATCAAGAAGGACACTAAGACTACGATTTACACACATTTAAACGAATAGTGAGAAGAGCAAGAAGAATAATAAGAGGAGGAGGAGGAGGAGGGGGAGAAGGATCCCAGTAAACCCAGGACGCGCCAACGCGTCGCAAGATCGTGCGTCTCGATACGGCTTCCATCTCACTTCAAGAGGCGCTCGCACGGAAAAGGCCATTCAGAGGCGAGCGCTCCGTTTTGAAAACGGACTGCCTTGCATATTCTTAGCGAATAAAAGAGAAACAACAAACACAAAACAATCTTAGCGACTCAAAGAACTGCGAACATGTAGGACCATGCAGAGCGGCGAGGTGCCGAGCGACATCCTCCGTTTGAGAAAAGGGCCGCCCCATCTGTGGTGCTGGCGCGCAGAGTTGCATACCTCTGTGATGAGTTTCGACGAAAGCCCAAGGGAGACCCCCTACAGTCGGGGCCCTGAAGAAGGAACCCTTTTCGTTGGGGAGGGGCTCCGCGTTCCTTAAGTGTTTCGCAGCTTGCCTCAGGTTTGCCTTATGTTTTCGATCGGACATCGAAGTTTAACTTACGGAAAAAAGGTGCCTCGTTCCTTATTCGGGTTCCTTAGGTCAAGACCACCATCTACCCTGCAGCCGCTGCATCCGTTCATCATCTACCATCCACCCTGCAGCCGCTGCATCTGTTCAGCGCGCTGGCCTTCTAGAGCGCCAGGGATCGCAGGTACTCGGGGTGCGACGTGGTACATGTTAGTGCAACCGATCATCTCGTGTGTGATGTTCATGTGCCTCGGGCAACTCCGCCACTGAGCCAGCGAAGCGGTCTGGCCGGCGACCCTTGGAGCACCTCTCAGGAGGCCGTCGCGCGTGACACCTCAGTTTCCACTTCTCGAGGAGCTCTCGAGGGGACTACTTGGGGTAGTCTTGTTGCTGCCTTGGGGCCGTCTTCGGCCGTCTTGGGGCCCTACTGGGCCATATTTGGGTCCTGTCGAGCCGTCCTGGGGCTCTCTTGGCCATCTGTGGTTCTTTTGGGAGGCTCGTGGGGCCGCGGTTGGGTCGTTAAGGGGCCGCTTAGGCCTTCTGGATTTTCTCTGGCGGCCCTCTTGGGCCTGCTTAGGGCTCTCTTGCAGCTGTCATGGGCCGACTAGGGGTCCTCCTTGGGCCTTCAGTGGGCCCCTTTGGTCCCTCGAAAACCAGGGATGGGACAGTCTTCAGCCGAAGAGCGTGGGAAGCAAACGAAGTTTAAACACCTGCGAGACATCAGCGTTTTCGGCTCTCGAGGCCCTTTTGGAGATCGTCTTGGGGGGGTATTGGAGCACTGGTCGCTTCTTGGTACCTGCTGGATGCCTCTTGAGGTCGTGTTGGCCATCCTTGGCGGCCTTGGTGGCCTTCTGGGTCTCCCTGCAAGCCTTGGGGAGCAGAAGCGAGCCCCAGGGGTCGTCGGGCCGCCGAGGCAGCCTCGGGAGAGAGGGCCGATGCACGCAACAGTGTGTGTGTGCGCGTGTTTATGTAGGGAGAGGGGGGAGCGTGGCGGAGGAGGAGGAGGAGGGGAGGAGGAGGAGGAGGAGGAGGAGGAGAGGAGGAGGAGGAGGAGGAGGAGGAGGAGAGGAGGAGATGATGATGAGGAGGAGGAGGAGGAGGAGGAGGGGGGGGAGGAGGAGAGGAGGAGGAGGAGGATAGGAGGAGGAGGAGGAGACGGAGCAGCAGGAGGAGGAGGAGGAGGAGGAGGAGGAGCAGCAGGAGGAGGAGGAGGAGGAGGAGGAGGAGGAGGGGTGGGATAGCGTGGCCCTGAGAAAATTCCGAGAAACCCGACCAGATAGCATGCGGCATTCTACCTCACCTCAGTGTGCCAGGAGGCACGGTGCCAGATTGCAAAGCGGAAGTGAACGCAGGGATGGACGCCCTTCAACCCGCCGCCCGCCGCCCGCTTTCCACAAGATTCCTTACATAATCTACAGCTCTACGGACCTTTACCTTCAGTGTGCCCGTCCCGTCGTCGCCGTCAAGGCGACGGCCACGGTGGCTTTTCCGACGGTGGCGACAGCGACGGCGACGATGACGACAGTGACGGCGGCAACGACGCAGACGCAGACGTAGACGCAGGCCGCCCCCGAACGCATCTCGAATGGTTGGGTGGCGAGAGCGACGACGCGTTCCATTGCGCCGCAGCGCGCTCTGCTCCCTCCGGTGCTCTCGGCTCCCCAACTGGGGGGCCCACGACGTCGAAGTCACGCAAACGTTCCGTGTCCAATTCTGACAGGGGGGAGTGGCGCTTTTGATTTGTCGTGTGACTTCTTGCTGCATGTATCGGGCCTCAATTGAAAGCTCGGCTTCGTGCCTGCCTGCTTCCCGCCCGTGAACCCCACGCCCGAGGCCCACGACCCACTGGGACGACGGACCCGCGATCTGTCCACGACCCCCCGAGCGACTCCGCGCGCCAGGGAAAGCGTTTTCTGCACCCTCCGAGCAGATTTGGCTCAAGCCTGCCCGCCCCTCACCGAGGCCCCAGCAGCGCAGAGCGATGACCAGCCTGCGGCCGCAGTCCCGGGTGCTGCGCAGCCAGGCGCCAGCGGCCAGCATCGTCGTCGTCGTCGTCGTCGTCGTCGTCGTCGTCGTCGTCGTCGTCGTCGTCGTCGTCGTCGTCGTCGGCCTCCAGGCGCTGGCGGCCAGCGCGCTGCTGGCGGCGGTCGCCACGGTGCTGCTCGGCTGGGGCCCCGCGGGCGCCGCGTTCGCGGAGCCCCGGGGCGTCTCGGCCCGCCCGGCGGCCCAGCCGCGCGCCAGGGTGATCCGCGGAATCTACGGTCGGGAGCTTCTGGATAACGTGTCTCTCCGCCAGCTCGGGCCCACCACGCTTCGGCGCGGCAGGCTGTCCACTTCCGGGTCCCCAGGCGTCAACGTCCAGAGCCTTTCCGAGCCTCCCGTCCGGCGGAGCGGAGCGACCAGCTATCTACTCGCGATGCATGGCGTGTCGCCAGGGCCGCCGTAGCGACACGCCATCCCAAAGTTCCTGACCATTTGCCTCCCAGACGGGGTCAGAGCAGGCGGGGCCGGGAGGATCACGCCGACGTTGCCGATGCACTGCCGCCATCGCCGATGCATCGGCAATGCATCGGCGGTGCCGCGTGAGCTTCCGACCCTACCTGCTTTGATCTCATCTGGGAGGCTTCTGCGAGAGGCATCTTTGCCACACCGTGCCTGGCCAGTGCCATCTCTCGGGCCCCGGGGTGGTGCACCAGGGAGCTGCGTGCCCAGACCCCCAACGATTTTTTCGTGCTTCCAGTCCCTGCGTTTTTCCTCGAGGTCGGCTCCCGGGGTAACAAGCAAGCCGGGCCGCAAGCTTGGCAGCGGGTTGAATGATGCATGAGGCGCGGCTGGCCCAGGCGAGAGCTGGGTACTTTCGCATGGCCAGGCGTCTTTCTAGCTCTCGGCCCTTCCAATGGCGGTGCCTCGGCATGTGGGTTCCAGCTCGTGGCCTCCAGATGGTCTGCATGTGAGTCGAGCGATGTGTGCTTCCAGCTTCCTGGTATAGACCCGGCTGGCCTCGGCCAGGAGGGCGCGTGCACCGTCCCAGGAACCGGCGCGGCCTTGGCCGGGCGTGGCGGTGGTGGGTGCATGCCTTCTGCGCAGGTGAAGATGCACGGGGCCTACAACAGGTGGGCGCCGCCAGAGAACCTCCCTGGACCTCCGCCGTCGCGTGCGCACATCGACCCTGGCGCTTCTCCGCCTCGCTCGCCTCGAGAGGATGGGCCTCGAGCCCGCGAAGCGCCGCCTCAGAGGGCGGGGGAAGCCGTGGGGCCCTCGGAGAGAAGCCGCTTGCCGGTGCCGACGCTCTCCCTGCCTCTCGGCCTCCAGCGGGGCCCGTCGCGGGCCCCCGCGGGCCGTCGTGCGCACGAGGAGTGGGCGCGAGGAAGCGGTCCCAGGAGAGGGCTCGAGAGGTCCCGGGGCATGGCGACGGCGGAGGTCTGGCTCCATGCCAGCAGCGTCTGCCAGGAGGGGAAATCACACGCAGACGCAACTCATCGGCGACCCCCTAGAAGATATGGGACAATATGGGGAAGTGGGGGGGGAAGACAAGAACCCAGAAGATGTGGGAAAATATGGGGAGTCTTTTTGTTTGTGTGTATCTTTGTCTGTGTGTCCCGGGGCCCCTTCGGTCTGGAGTCCTGCGCCAGGTCACTCTGGGGCATGACTCGGGGGCCACAAGCGAACCCTACCCCTAGTTACCCCCCACGATTTCTGAGGGGGAGGGTGGGGTTCACTTCGCTCGGGAGCTCCCGAGCGAAGTGAACCCCACCCTCCCCCTCAGAAATCGTGGGGGGTAGGGGTAGGGTTCGCATGCGGCGGCCCCCTAATGACGACGGCGGAGGTCTGGCTCCATGCCAGCAGCTTCTGGAGTCCTGCGCCAGGGCACCCCTGGGGGCAGCGGCGGGTGCGGAGGCCCTCGCGCCTGCAGGGGTGGGCGGGCCTCCGTGCTCGCCGCCGCCCGAGGTCTGGGGTTACGTCGGGCCTGTCTGTCCCCCTGCAGGGGGATTTCCGACGAAAATAAAAGATACCCCAAAGATGCCCCAAGAAGGTCAAACAATAGCAAAAAAATAGTCCCCGGACTATTTTTGGATTATTTTTTGATTATTTTTGGGGTATATTTTTTTTTGTCGAAAATCCCCCTGCAGGGGGACAGGCCCGACTCAAGTCTGGGTGCACGGCCCTGGGGTGGGTGACATGTGGGTACGCCATCGGCGAACATATGTACGCCGGTTGTTGACAGCAGGTGTGCTTGGATCCCCAGGTCCCAATCCATTTTCGGCGCAGTCCTGCTCCAGTCATCGAGTGCTTTTTCCTTCTCCCTCCTCTCAGGGGGCGGGCGGGAGCCCAATCTACTGCTAACGCCTTGCCGCTTCATGTTTCTACCCACCTCTTCCGACCCATGGGTCTGTATCTCTCTCTATATGTAGCTTAGATGTATGTCGTGTTTTGTTGTTGTTGTTGTTGTTGTTGTTGTTGTTGTTGTTGTTGTTGTTGTTGTTGTTGTTGTTGTTGTTGTTGTTGTTGTTGTTGTTGTTGTTGTTTTTGTTGTTTTTGTTGTTTTTTTGTTTTTGTTAATATGTATATTTTTTATGTGTATATGTTTATGTATAAGTATATATATATATATATACACATCTATACAGGTGTATGTCGATATCTTCTGATCTAGCGGTCGTGGACTCGCAGCACGCAGCACCCTCTGCGTGCCGACGACGCCCGCCCGTCCCACGCGGAGGCTCTGCGCGGCGGGTCGCGCGCGGGCCCGCCGAGGGTGCGTGACGGCGAGGGGGGTCGGCACGGACATGTAGCATGGAGTCGGGCGCGTCCCTCTACAGGAGGAGAACGCAAAGATAGTCGGAACATAGCCTGGGACGATTTTTTGACCATTCTCGAAGATCCTCAGGTTTTTTTTAAAAAAATCATTCGCCCAAAATCCGCCTGTAGGGGGACACGCTCGACCTAAATGTAGCCCCCCCCCCCCCGGCTGCGGATAACAGTGAGGGGGCGGGCGCGGGGAGGGTCGCAGGTGTCAGGCGATCGCAAGCATGGATCAAGGTGGCGTGGATCAGCGACGGGTCCCGTTTCCATGGGAAGTCGCGGATCTCCGCCGCCGAGCGAGGCCGCACGGGCCGCATTTTGGGGGCAGGGCACCTCCTGCGATCCATGGATCTGGCGACCGCGCGCCAAATCCATGGATCGCTAATCCATGTTTGTGCGCCCCCGAGGGTGGGTCGCGGGTGGGACGAGGACAACAACAACAGCAGGAACAACAGCAGCAACAACAGCAACAGGAACAACAGCAGTAATCTTTTTCATGCTGTTCGCTTCTATCTGCTCGTGTGCCATTCACCACGTATATCCCCAAGCCCTCGGTAGCCGCCCTCTTCGTCTTCGATCATGCCCCCCTTGCGGGTATATCTTCCTTACCTGCCACCTGCACGCAATGCAGCCCCTGGAACACGGGAGGAGAGGACGGATGGAAGAGGGAGGGAGAAGGATGGAGCACGAGAGAAATTAGCAGGAGGGGGCTAGGAACAGAAAGCACTTGGCAGAACCAGACGGGCAGACCGGGCAGGCAGACCCTGGCGGGCGGGTCGGGAAATCGGGCCCAGGCGGCCAGGTCAAGCAGGCGGGGTGCTGAAGCGTGCGTCCTGTATGCATCGCGAGGATGTCTTGAGCGATAGCGCGGCTCCCTCGGTAAACCGTGAGAAGGGCCAAAGCGAGAGCGTGATTCCTGAGTGTCGCGTCTGAACAGCTTGCGAGGAAATCCCACGTGAGGGGGGCTAGGATTAAATCGGGCCTGTCCCTCTACAGGAGGAGTACTTAAGAACAGTCCAGAAATAGTTTGGATACGTTATATATATATCTATATATTTTTATATATGTATATATATATATATATATATATATATATATATATTTATATACTATTACCACCTGTTTTGAATGTTTTTTGGGTATTTGTTTGACATTTTTTTTGGGGGGGTATTTGTTTTGACATGTTTTCGGCTGAAATCTGCCTGTAGGGGGACATGCCCGACCTAAGGCTTGGAGCAGACAGCACGCGGCAGAACCAGACGGGCAGCTCGGGCGGGTTTGGGCCCCCGCGGGCGGGCCGGAGAGGCGGGCCGAGGCGGCCAGGTCGAGCAGGCGGGTTGCTGAAGCGTGCGTCCTGCTCGCGAGGAGGCCTCGAGCGATAGCGCGATTCCCGAGTGAATTGCGGAAAGAGCTGGAGCGAGAGCGCGATCCCTGAGTGTCGAGGGCGCGGCGTCTGAACAGATTGTGAGGATGCCCCGCGCGAGAGCGCGGTTCCTGGATAGTGCGGGAATCCCGCGCGAGAGTACGATTTTTGGAGTACCTGGTGAGGAGCTATCAGGCGGAAGCCGTTGAACTTTCACTAGTTATTGAAGAATAGTTCTTGTTGATCCCCCCTCCGGTAACATATGTGTTTATTCAATTGAAGTGCCCCTCCTGGGGCTCGCACCGTGTTTTTTCAACAGGGAAGGTCTTCCTGCTCCAACTCTGCCCCTGGTCCCCAGGTTACAACAACGTCTCCCGCATAATACTTCCTTGCGATTTATTGAAGAATCGCGCTCTCGCTAGGGACTTCCTTGCAATTTATGCGAGTAACGTGCTCTCGCCTGAGACTTCTTCGCAACTTATTCAGGCACCACGCCATCGCCATTCAGGAACCGCGCTCTCGCCGTGGTCTTCCTCATAATTCCCTTAGGAATCGCGCTCTCGCTCGAGACTTCGTTGCGAATTATGCCGGACTCACGCATTCGTATAACATATATATATATATAGACATGTCATTATGGGCAAAAGCTGTCTTTTCAATTGAAGTGTCTTTTCCGGGGTTCGCTGTGTATTTGCATTGGCAAATCTTCCTGCTCAAACTGTGCCCCTGGCCCCTACAACATCAACGGCTCCCGCCTGGTACTTCGTTGCAATTTATTTGAAGAATCGCGCTCTCGCTAGGGACTTCCTTGCAACTTATATAAGAATCGCGCTTTCGCTTGATACTTCCTCGCAATGTGTTCAGGCGTCGCGCTTTCAACACTCAGGACTTGCGCTGTCGCTTAGGACTTCCTCGCAGTTGATTGAGGCGCCGCGCCCTCGACACTCAGGAATCACGCTCTCGCTTTGGATTTCCTCACGAGATTTCTTTTGGAATCGCACTGTCGATCAAGGGCTCCTCGCGATTCATGCAGGACGCACGCTTCAGCAACCCGCCTGCTCGACCTGGCCGCCTGGGCCCGCCTGTAACGGTCTACCCGCCCGATCTGCCCGTTTGATTCTGCCACGTGTTTTCTGCTCCTAGCCCCCCTCCTGCTACTCCCTCGTGCTTCATCCTCCTCCCTCCCCCTTGTCCTTTCCTTCCATCCGTCCGTTCTTCCCATGCTTTAGGTGCTGCACGAATCCACATAGCAGGTAAGAAAAATAGACTCCCAAGGGGATATGATCGAAGAAGAAGAGGGTGGGTATCGAGGGTTTGGGATGCACGTGTGGAATAGCACGCGAGCAGATAAGAGCGAACAGTCTTAACATGATTGTTGTTGTTGTTGTTGTTGTTGTTCTTCTTCTTCTTCTTGTTGTTGTTGTTGCTGCTGCTGTTGTTGTTGTTGTAAACTGGTGGCCGAGGTCACAGCGTGGTGACACTCAGCTTCCCTTGTAAAAAGGTGTGGGCCCCGGGAGGAACACTTACATTGAATAATACAACGGTCACCAGGCAGGCGGGACCAACAACAATTATTTTCAAGAAGCGAGAATTCAACAACAACAACAACAACAATAACACCAACAAGGGGGTATGTCTTCCTTACCTGCAACGTGTATTTTGTGCTGCCCCTAAGGCAAAGGAAGAGAGGACGGATGGAAGGAAGGGGCAAGGGTGAGGGAGGAGAATTTGCACGAGAGACATGAGCAGGAGGGTGGCCTAGGAGCAGGAAACACGTGGCAGAACCAGACGGGCAGATCGGGCGGGTAGGCCCCAACGGGCGGGTCGGGAAGGCGGGCCCAGACGGCTAGGTCGAGCAGGCGGGTTGCTGAAGCGTGCGTCCTGCATGAATCTCGAGGAAGTCGCGCAATTTCCAAGTAAATCGCGAGAAAAGCTGAAGCGAGAGCG